ACTGGGAACAAAATGCCTTTTAGCAGAAGGAAGCTGGAAGACATGTGGTTAAGCTATGGAGAGCATATGGAGAGTAGAGGTCAAGGGGATGGGGTGGGGAGAGTGCCTGCATTCTGTGCTCCTGTCCTACATGTCTACTCTAGAGACATTTCTGACAACAGAATTTATAAATCCTTTGGCTGTACAAACCTTAGTATAACATGTTTTACATCTATGGTGATGCTTTTGTTAATAATTTCTCTACTGTGGTTTCCTCTGGGGCAGGACCCAAATTTTATTCTTTATAGATTCTGCAAGTACCTGGCTCATGTTAGACAGAATTATTGTTTGACTATCACTATGTCGTCCACACTCTCATAATTCTCACTGTAGTGTTGGTCCTTTTTCTTAGAACAAACTCCTTCCTGGGTGACTGGGTGACTCAGTCAGTTGAACGTCCGACTCTTGATTTCTGCCCAGATCATGATCCCAGGATCTTGGCATCAACCTCATGTTGGGCTCCATGCTGAGTGTGGAGCCTGCTTAAGATTCTCTCTCTCTTTCTCTCCCCCTACCCTGTCTCTCCCCCCAATTTGCATGTGCTCCCTCTCTCTCTCTCAAATTAAAAAAAATTTTTTTAAGAGCAATCTTCTTCTTCTCTAGTCCCTGCTTCTCCTCTATACTTATTCCACTCCTAGCTCCTACCCTTTCTGCAACCTGAAAACTTCTACACACCCTTGAAGTCTGAGCTGAGATATAGCGGTCTCTGGAATCCTTTTCCCACCATGCATGGCCTCCAGAATCAATCACTGGTCCTCTCTGTGAGCTTTCAGGTCATTCTCTGATACCTCTGCCACAGTATTTAGCACACTGTGTTGATTGTCTGTGTCTGCTAATACCAAGAGAAACCCCATAAGTGCAGAGGCCATGTCTGGTTCACTACTGAATGCCCAGCACATAACGGTCATTCCATAATATTTCTTGAATAAATGAGTGAATGAACATACCTGTTAGAATGCATCCTTTCCATTAACTAGATGAAATGTTTTAATAATTTAACATATGTTGTAGAAAATTAGTGAGATTTCCATTACCTGTTCTTACACCTACTACTCTTCCCTCTATCCTACCTGAAAACAGGTCCCAAGAAAATTCACTGCTTTATCTAGCCAGTCCCTAGACATTCACACACATGGTCACGTTCTAAACACAGGCAACTAACTCTAAATTATACCCAAATAAAAATGCATAAACATCATATGTAGGCCAAAGCTTGGGGCATCATAATAAATCAAAATATAGGGAGGAATTTCTAGTGGGTGAAGCACTTCCCTTCTAAGAGGTGGGGATACATTCGTAAGAACTTATGTACCTAGCAGACAAGGAGGATTTCTCATCAGAGAGGCTGCAAATGGTTGTGCAACTTGGCGGAGTACTGCTTACATAGACTAAGTCATGAGTAGCACCCTCTAGAGGGGTGCCACAAAGCAGTTGTGATAAAGCTCTAGACTTTGTGAGTGACTATGGGAAAAATCCACGCTGTTTTTTGCAGCACAGGAAGTAACTGATTTTATCCTCTTCTGGGGAGAATGGGCGGTAGAAAGAAAGGTAACTATTGGCCTTTCCTTTCCATCGTCTTTGTAACAACTCTCCTCGTTTAAGAGGACTGGGGAAAGCCAAGCTGCTAGAGTGCAGGTGCCACACACAGAGGAGACACTAATTACATTTGAGTTGGTTGATGGATGTACCACAAAATATACATTTAGAGCAAAATGCAGAGGATGATGTAATGGTAGCCAAAGTTCTCAACTTACTCTGACATACTAGTCCTTCTTTTCCTCTTCTCTCACACTTAATTTTAAAATGTTCAGAAAGTATAGTGCAATTAAATTTCTAGTAAGTAGACTATGTAACTCAATCATGAATTGGAAGAATTTGTGATATTAAAAGGAAATATTGTATGAAAACTGATTTTCAAGAACCAATTGATAATGATTCCCTTAATATTGTAATCTACTTTGACATTTTATTTGACCTTGGCACATAACCGGTATCTGATAAATAAAAAGGTGACGAAGGATATTTCATCATTCCTCCTTTGAAAAGATGATGAGTTTGTCTCTTGACAGTGTTGAATAGAGAAAATAAAATAATTGAAATTTTTGCATCATATAATTTTTCTGAATCTTGATAATTATGGTCACTGAGGTATCTTCTTATATATTTTTTATTTGATACCTGTTTTTTTTTTTTTCTGCTTTTCCTTATCATCCGTCCCCTATTTTGGAAACATTTTATAGATATTTTTTAATTTAATTTTTTTTAATTTACATCCAAATTAATTAGCATATAGTGCAACAATGGTTTCAGGAGTAGGTTTCTTAATGCCCCTTACCCATTTAGCCCATCCCCCCTCCCACAACCCCTCCAGTAACCCTCAGTTTGTTCTCCATATTTATGAGTCTCATCTGTTTTGTCCCCCTCCCTGATCCCTTCCCTTATGTTCATCTGTCTTGTCTCTTAAAGTCCTCATATGAGTGAAGTCATATGATTTTTGTCTTTCTCTGACTAATTTCACTTAGCATAATGCCCTCCAGTTCCATCCACATAGTTGCAAATGGCAAGATTTCATTCTTTTTGATTGCCAAGTAATACTCCATTGTATATATATACCACATCTTCTTTATCCATTCATCCATCAATGGACATTTGGGCTCTTTCCTTACTTTGGCTATTGTTGATAGTGCTGCTAGAAACATTGGGTTGCATGTATCCCTTGGATAAATACCTAGTAGTGCAATTGCTGGGTTGTGGGGTAGTTCTGTTTTTAGTTTTTTTGAGGAACCTCCATACTGTTTTACAGAGTGGCTGCACTAGCTTGCATTCCCAACATTTTATAGATTTTTAAATCCAACTTTTAATACCAGCTTTGAGAACTTACAGCTTCTTGCCACAACATTAAAAAAAAAAGGAAGATACTTTCTGAAAAATAACTGTGCTATGTAAGATATTGTTAGTCTAAAAAATTTCAATACAAAATTACAAAAATTGTTGAAATTTTGTCTCTTATATGTTTTGAATTGACCTTTTTCAGGCATGTCTTTACCACAAACTTTTGTCAGCTGAAAACATCTTATGCAAGTTGGTAATCTTTAGCAGTATAAAAAATGTGTTTTTCTTGAAATTTTGGGAAGATAGAAATAGAAACAGTGTAGTTTTCTAGTCTTTTGAAACATCCCTATAAGAATAGAGAAACTAGGACAGAAAAACGTAAAACTCACAGACAATATCTATAACAAAACCAGGTGACAAGGTTTCCCACGAAACCTTGAAACAAGTGAATGAGGACAAACTAATGACCGTTACAAGAGCCACATAGTATTAGCCTCTAGGTTAGAGGACGTAAGGGGACATTGATAAACCTAAGAAGAGGAGAAGACTCCAATCTCCAAAGCCTCCAAATCACTGAGAAGCAGAATGGACCAATACAAGAACAGCTGAAATTGTGAGGGCTTTTTGCCATCCAAATCTCTGAGAATCACAAGGGATCCCCCTACAATAAGGTCTGAAGGACTTGACTAATACAGTCAAGGCTCTATAAATCCTGGAGGTACTGTCTGAAGCCCCCTTGGGTAAATTAGGAGAAACTGCTGGGAAGAGACTCTAATACCCAGAGCAGATGAGTAGAGGTAAAGTTTCAGAAAGAGGAGAAGAGATCTCAGAAAGTATGAGGTCATAATTTTGAATGCTTCATGAAAATAATCAGAAAGTCAAGAGACTTTGAAACTAAAAGATATCCTGACCCATCGTTCTGTCAAAAAGGTTAAGAAAACCAACTTTGCTTAAAAATAAATAGCAACAGACAGGTGTCTCCATTAATTGCAATACAAAATGATTATAAGAGCACAGAAAATTAGCATGTCAGGAGGGTGTGCCCACAAAACAGATGAAAGCATTACACAATCTGCAGAATATTGAAATTAATATTACTTAATACTAAAATTAAGAACATCATAAAGGAGAGAGAAAATAGAAGTCAAAAGTAAAAAAAAACAAAAAAACAAAAAAAGACCTCATAGTGCATGTAACTGCACACCCCAAAGAAGAAAATCAAAGCAATGAAAGCAATGGAAGAAAACAGATATGGGTACAAAGCAGTCTAATTCAGGAAAACATTCCTGAAAGCAAAATGAAAAAGACTTAAGTTAAAAGAAAGACTCCTTAAAAAAAAAAAAAAGAATGAAAAGAAAGATTCCTTGTCCATATCCATGCAAAAAGAGCAAGTCGTGTATTTGGAATAGAAAGACAGATGGAGAGAGAGGAGGGGGCAGAAGGAGGGGCGAAGAATGAGGAGCTTCATGTAAAAAGAGAATAAGAGACGCATGTAACCAGTCAAACTGTGTGGACCTTATTTGGATGCTGATTCAAACAGTTTTTAACATGTCCAAGACAATTGGATATTCGAAACACTGCGGTTTTGAAAATATTAAGGAATTGTAATTTATAGGTATGATGATGGCATTGTAGTTATGAGTTTTAAAAGATCCTTTTTTTTTAGAGAAAACTCCTTATTTATAATGAAATTATGTGATGTCTGATACTTCAAAATTAAAAAAAGAGAATGGAAAATAATTGATTGGATAAATAAAACAGCATTGGCCACGAATTAATAATTATTGAAGCTGTGTAGCAATTACACAGGATGGTTCATGGTATGTTGCCTAGTTGGTATATGTTTAACACAATTCTCAATACAAAGTTTAAAAAGAATTTTTTTTGTCCTCAAATAGGATGGACAGTTCAAGCCAAGGCAAGATAAATGTTTTTCATTTTCTTAAACCCAAAATTTCTAGAGTATCAGCTTATGGAAATAGTTCCCTTGGTGTTATGCTAGCCTGTTGGGGCTGTTTAGATGTATCTTCCTTAACATTAACTTAATTAAACTGTTTTCACATCTACTCCACTGAATGCATATGTCTGAGAAGCATTTCATGGATATTAGTATTATTATTTTTTTTTAGGATTGTGGAAAAGGGATATTATAGTGAACGAGATGCTGCAGATGCTGTTAAACAAATCCTGGAGGCAGTTGCTGTAAGTATGAAGTGACAGCAGTAGTGTAACTTTTGGTAAACTTTTCTTCTTACGGAATCATCCGTTAACTAGTGTACATCTGTGACCAGCCGTAACATTTACAACAAAACAGTATGAAATACTTTGTAGAATATATGTTGATAAATGTATATTTTCTATTGATTACTCCCTGAGAGATGCAATCCTCCTGTATAATACCATAAGTTTGTTAAAATAATTTCCATTATTATGAAATCCAATCAGACTTTGGTGCTGGTGCCTATACTTGTTCTCTTCTCTTTCTTTCCATTTCTTGAGTTTGTTTCCTTATTGTTTTTGTTATTGCGCAGGGAAGTGGAGGAAGGTTGAATGTGACAAATATAGATCTTGGAGCATAGAGATTATTGATTTTTCTTTCAAGACAAGTAATAAGTGAATTAAAGTTAAAAATACTGACAATTGTATTTTTTAAGGGAAAAATATAAGTTAATGTTTCTAACTAGAATAAAGTTTTGAAAGTTGATGATAGAAACATGCATACACATTTACAGAAATATGTAATTTTAAGAAGCTTGTTTGGATTGAATTAATAAGGAAACATTTGCCTAGATGAAACAGACTCCACTGATGAAATTTTTCCCATATGTTTAATGGTGTCTGATATGTGCTGGAACACTTTGGTGATTATTCGTTTATTGAATATAAAGTCAGAACAAATTACTCTCTGAACAAACAGGATGAAGCCCAAGCGGAGATATTTATCAGCATTAAAGAGACAAATCTATAAAATATACTCAGAATTAAGATATATTCTATTGTGTGGAGTCAATTATCTAACTAAAATCATCATTCAGTATCTTGAGAAATCAACCACAGTGACAAGATCACATGTCCTGTGAATTTTACCCCAACCAAAACAGAAAGGAGGGAAGGAGGGAAGGGAGCCAAGGAGGGAGAGAAGAAGGAAAGAAAGTAGGAAGGACTCTGATATCTAACTAGCTTGTCTATCATTGATGAAAAGGAAAAACAGTCTTCACAATCTCCACAGGACTCCTAGAGATAGCAGATCTGTGGTCTGACCAAATCCATGATTGAGCTATCAACACCAAGTTCAATTGGATATATAGCCCAGTCTTTCCAAATTATTCCTTCCTATACAAGTGTTTTGGTCTTTTTGCTGTGGTAGGGTATGAAAAGTTTGAAGGTGGAGAGGATACCCTGGAATTTTACTCTAAATATACAGTGCAGTTCCTGATTATATGAATATTTTATTTCAAATTCATCCTCTTACCATACCCCAAATAACCCCTCCACTCCAGAGTTTTCATCACACGCAGTATAGTTACCATCCCTGGTTTCTTAAGCTTGCCAGCTTGGGAATGATTTTTAACTCTTCCATTACCTTCTCTCCTCATAGCCACCTTTCCAACTTCAGTGGGGTCTTCCTTCTACTGCCCCTGAACCTAATCCTGCTCCCTACCATGCGATGACTGCTCCTGAGTGCTTTATCAAACAAACAAGCAAACAAACAACCACTTCTAGTTACTTCCAGTTCCTGTCATTAAATATATAAGTCTAGAATTCTCTTTTTCAGTCCTTGTTTTCATCTTGTTACTTCTGAGTTCAATAATGGCAGTTATTTGTAATTTAAATTTTTAAATTTTTTTTATTTTTTTAAAAATTTAATTAATTTTTAAAGTTCCATTTATTTTTGAGAGAGAGAGTGCGAGCGAGCAGGGGAGAGGCAGAGAGGGAGATGCAGAATCCGAAGCAGACTCCAGGCTCTGAGCTGTCAGCACAGAGCCTGACATGGTGTTTGAACTCATGAACCACAAGATCATGCCCTGAGCTGAAGTCAGATGCTCAACCGACTGAGCCACTCAGGCGTCCTTATGCCTTTCTTAAATACCCATTTAAAAACTTCGTTTCTCATTACTATATAAGATAGATTATCTATTCAAATAAACATGCTGGCAGTGGCCCACTGTCAATTTATCCAAATCACGCAGGCAGCTGGTATAGCAGTTAAGAGGACTTAAGGAGTCAGAGCTTGGTTCAGTTTCTAGATATGTGAGCTTGGGCCCTATCACTAAACACTTCTGAGCCTCAGTTTCCTCATGTAAAATGGGCATAATATTTAACCTAACAGAGTAGTAGAAAAGACTAAATAAGCTGATAGCAATGTTCAAAAGAGAGGGAAAAGGGCAAGCAACTTCAGACTCAGTATATTCGTATAAAGATGTATTAGATGTTGAAAATCTATACGTACATCCCTACTCCCCAGCTAAGTAGTAAAATCAAAAACAATTGACAATAGTCAGTGCTCAATAAATATTTACCAACTAAATAACTGAAAATGCATCAAAATAGAAATAGTCACTATTCTGTGTTTTGTCTTTCTAGATGCTGATAGATTTAGTGAAACATGCTTACTATCATTTTTCTGCTCATTTCATATGAAACAAACCTTTCTTTATAACTTGCTTCCATTCATGAGATTCTTTTCTGCTCCCTTACTATCATTTAATTCTTTTCCCGTCATTCAAAACGCACCTTCTTCAATATGTTCTTTCTGGCTGCTTCCACCCATTTAGGTCAGCACTTGATTCTTTTGGTTTATCACAGTGGGCATGCTTCAATTTAGTGATACTCAGGTAGCTGACTGAGAGAGCTCTGTCCTTATTCAGCGAATGAGAAACGAATGCTTTCATCATCAGACTTTTTCCACCTATTGGAGTTACACCAATTAAGGAATAAAAGGGCCCCCCACAGGGAGGGATGCCCCAGATAGGGGTACCTCACATAGAAAAGAGGGCCTAGACTTCAACTCTATTCCAGATCTTGCAAGATGGATTGATTAGTCTACTACTAATTGTCAATTTAAAGCAAACAAACAAAAAACTTGTTATTCTATCTACTCAGAAAGCTCCAGTTTGAGAAGCCTACCAAGCAAAGGCGGGGGAGGGGGGGGGGGGACAAAAAGAGAAAGAGGCACACTGAGAAATAGACTCTTAACTCCAGAGAACAAACTGATGGTTACCAGAGGGGAGGTTTGTGGGGAGATGGGTTAAATAGTTGTTGGGGATTAAGGAGTGCACTTGTTGTGATGAGCCCCAGATGATGTATGGAACTATTGAACCACTATACTGTATACCTGAAACTAGTATTACACTGTATGTTAACTAACTGGAGTTTAAATAAAAACTTACATAATAAAAAAAAGTACTAAATAAAGAAATAAGTAAGAGCAAAAAAAAAGTAGATTGCCATATTCAAGTCACTCTTTGAAAGAAGTTTTACAAAAATTTTCTCTGATTGCTACAACTAAAGATTAACTTAGAGAAAAAAATAATAATTTACCTAAATGTTTCCACAGGTAGAATAAGCAAGCAATTTAAAACTTATGGGAAGTGGCTGACATTTATGAAATAGTTTATTGTCAACTACATAGCTATAGATAGCTATAAAAATAGGACAGTTGGGAACTCAAAGTAATCAGTGATACATCTCACATTTCCTCTGGATCACACACTTAGAAGACTATATCTAGGCTGGCTTTTGAAAGCACAGAAGCAGAAAGCTTGAAGATTGAAAAGTTCTTGGGAAATATGTTGTGTGGATAATTATACCTCTTAGGTAACAAATCTCACAATCCTTCCCTTCCTCCCCACTTCATCCCAATTCTTGCCCCAAATATTTCACAGTATTTGTCTGACTGTAATCTTGCTCCTTCTGCTTTTTAGCTTTAAATAGAATTTATGAAAGCTTTTAAAGTGAATGTGAAAGATGTTTCCCTCTTTGAGTTTGAATTCATCCAGTTAGTCTTTGAGGGCAGATCATTAAGCCTTCTTGAGTATTCTATCTTCCTGAAATGAACTCCAGGTAGTCCCAAATTAGATGGTCTAGGTCAGTCTGGACAGTTTGGAAGGGTCATCACGTCCTCATTTGTCAGAAAGCACAATGCCAAGTCTTAAAGCCCTCCTTTTCCATTTACTTACAAGATAATCAGGGAATAGTCCAACACCTCTGATGTCTCTTACTGTTGCCACCATCTCCAGTCCTTTTCTTGTTCTCCCTGATATCCTACTGTCCCTCTATTTCCAAAAAGAATTACTGTCTCCTTTTTGCCCCACTCCTGATGCCACTTTCCATCTTTTTTCTAGCCACAACTCTCTTAGGTATGTCTTAGTTTCAAAGCCATGATTTGAGCCCCTGGAGAAACTTGTACATATAGAGTATATATTGAATTTAATAAAATAAAAGGAAATGGTTGAGGAACTTAAACATGTATGCTGCCCTAGTACATAGATTTGGGGTTAGAATTATTTTGAAGATTGTGATAATAGGGGTAAAGAGTTGCAAACAAAAGCATCTAACCTTTTAAAGTTGTGGAAACCAAAATGGTATCTGAACATTGAAGTAAAACAGGAAGTGGATGTGAAAAAGATGAAATATTCCAGGATTCTTGTGGTAAAAATTTTTAAAACCTATAACCTCCCCTAAAAAAGGACAGATTTTTAGGGGTTGATTGTGCACACATCCCTGCCTGGAAGGATTATCAAGGCAAAGAGGATTTCAAAAAATGACATCTAGTTAATTGTTCTTCTCAGGATTGAGATGAGTGTGTTCACTATTGCAAAAGCTGGTTGAAGTGTCATGGACATGATGTGACTGAGTAGATGTGGTCTAATTCTTGTTTGATGACCTCAGATTATAGTCATTACAGATTTATTCATAGCTATTCTGTCAGGTTTCTGTTGATTAGGGCACAAGATTGACAGATTCATTGACTTTGGAGCAGGGGACCTGGCTAATCTTAAGTAAGGGTGGGAAATATTGTCTAGTTAATGATGGTGGTATCCAAAAACACAAAAAGGAAATAATGTAACAGAGAGGAATACTCACAGTGTCCTTATGAGGTCAGCAAAGGCATGGATTGTGTCTGTCTCTATACATGACCTATTAAGATTAATGTGAATAAAAAGAGAGAGAGAAATAGGGGAATTCAGGCTATAAGGGAA